CGCTCTCTGAAGCGGGCAGGTCTTCCACTTCTTCTTGCTCTGGGTCTTCCTTCAGCGACGCTCTGCTGTCGGGGGTCACGTCCGAGACATCTCTGGGTGTGTCCTCTCCATCGCTTCCAACGTCATCACTTGGAGTGTCCAGTGCTCCCTTGTCTATGACGTCCTCCAGCGTGGGGCCTGCAGTCCCTACGGCGGGCTCCATGACGTCCTGCAAACAGCCTGGGTCGCCCGCGTCGTCCTCGCTGTTGCTGGGAGAGTCGGAGATGAGGACGCTCTCCATCAAGTGCTCGTTCAGCTTGTCCCCGAAGTGGCTAGAGTCTTCCGACACGGGCTCGTTCTCTTCAGACCCAAACTCGTCCCCACCGAGGTCAATGGTCTCCTCGTGGTACAGGAGCTGCTGCCCCTGCCCTGCCCCAGGCACCTGCGGAGGGGTGCTCTCGGCTGGCCCCTGGGCTGGACTGCTCCGCTCCGGGCTGCTCGGGTCAGCACCCTCAGCGTTCTCCATGGTCGCCTGAAACAAAGACAAGCAGCCGTTAGTCTCCTCAGCTTTCTGTCTCAGCTACTGTTAAGCTGGTTTTGTCTTATTAACATTGTTTTTTATTTATAAAAATGAAATCATGTCATTATAATGGTGCAATGTGTCATTATTTGTTCAAATCCACAGACTGCATGACACCAAGACTGCACCATGGTATAAGCTATGGACTCTGGGTGATGACGTGTCAATGCAGGCTCATCAGCTGCAACACGGGGGGGACGAGGCCAGCGGGGGAGACTGCACCATGTGAGGGCAAGGGCGTCACGGGAAATCTCTGTACCCTCTGCTCCATTTTGCAGTGAATCTGAAACTGCTCTAAAAAATAAAAGTCTATAAAAAATGTTTATCGGTGTACCGGCTATATATTCAATGGTTTAAAATTCGATAGCCTCCATTTCTCCAGCCGTTTATTTATTTTTTGGTAAAAGACACATCGCACATCTATCATCTTTGTCATTTTCAAGTGCACCGTTCAGCGGTATTAATTACATTCACTTTGTTGTGCACCCATCATCTCCATCCATCTCCAGAACTCTTCTCCACCTGCAGAACTGGAACTCTGCACCCAACAAACAATAACTCCCAATTTCCTCCCCCAACCCAGCCCCTGGCAAGCACCATTCTGTGTCCATCTCTCTGAATCTGGCTACTCCAGGGACCTCACGTATGTGGAATCACAGGGTGCTTGTTCTTTGGGGTTCGGGTTATTTCGCTTAGCATGCCCTCGAGGCTCACCCACGTTACAGCATGTCAGAATCTCCTCGTTCATAAGGCTGAGAAATACCCCATTGTGTGTACATACACATTTGTTTATCAGTTTATCTGTTGATGGTCACAGGTTACTTCTATCTTTCGGCTGCTATGAAAACAGCTGATAAGAACATGGGTGTACAAGTATCTCTTCGAGACCCTGTTCTCAGCTCTTTTGGGCAGACGCCCAGGAGTGGGATTGCTGGATCATTCATATGGCAGTTCTGTTTTTAATTTTGTGAAGAACCACCCAAACTATTTTCCACTGGTTGTTTCCATTTCCCATTCCAAGAGGGTACAGGAGTTCCAATTTCTCCACATCCTTTCCAGCACCACTAATTTTCTGTCTTTTTGATAGTAGCCATCCTGATGGGCGTGAGGTCTCAGCCTTTCAAACCCTACTTACTCCTAAAGACACACTGCAGTCCACACTCGGCCTGAAGCCTTCCCAAGACACTGCAGCCTACAATCACCCTTCCATCCTCCTGAGCGCGTAACGCTGTTTGCTTAGCTCCGGGAATCTGAGACAGTGAGGCGGCGTGAGCAGGAGCAACAGCAAGGACAAACCAAGCTCCCCGAGGTGAAGCTGAGGCACCGAAACGGGAGGGCATTTGTGGCACTTGCTACGTCCTGACGCTGGGCTAAGTGCTCTTCCTTCCCGACCCTCTGACAGCCCCTGTCACGTGCTTCACGGTGCAGCGAGGAGCCTGAGGCTCAGACAGGAGTGGCGCCTGCCCCCGATCACACCGCGGGTGGGCTGAGAAACCAGGACCAGTCGAAGCTGAAATGTTGGGTTGACGCTGGTGGGTGGAGGCCACAGAGTGAAACAAGGACTCTGAACCCTAAAGCAGTATTTGTTCCTTTCCGTGAAGAGCTTCCAGGAGCAAAAGTTACGTGCATAGTTCTCCTCTCGTAGTGAACAAACTCAAGTAAGGAGACAAGGACTATGATGCAAGATGTGTGTTTTTCCAGAAAAAAACACTAGTGACTTTCAGCTGATCTCTGGGTAGGATTCCTTTTCTTCTCTCTGTCAACACTTTCATCACAGTCTTCGAAATTCGCTGTCCTTCCCTTTTACGGCTGGAGCACTCGAAGATCCAAAAGCAAGTTTATTTTAGAGTCCAAGTTACATATTCTGGAGAAGTTTCTCGTCCAGGATAGTCAGTTACTAATCTTCCCATTTATTACATGTTCACTTAGTAACTATTAGCTTTAAACAAGTCAAAATGACCAAGAAAAGGAGCAAAAGCCCCTGTCCCTGTAACGTTTCCCAGGGAGCGCGGACTGGCGGCTGCTCAGGGACATGAGTGCACGCACCCCCACGAGGAAGGCTCTTCCCTGGTCCTCCCCACGCAGGACACAGAGGCTGAGCATGAAGACCGTGGAAACGGCAACGCCTTGGTTTAACCTCCACAACCGCCGGACGAGAGACAGGCATCAGCTGCCCTAACACACAGACGGGGACACCGGGACCAGGGGAGAGACGGGACTCGTCTGCACTCACTGTTAGAAGGCGACACAGCCAGGAACCAGCCCGGCCCCTCCGCACGAGCCCCTGGGGACGGAGGTATTCCCAGTGCCCGGCACCCAGGCTGCTGGACTGAGCCCTTCTCAGAATGAAAACAGCTCAGATCATAATGCCAGCTCCTCCGGGACTACATTAGTGGACACTTGTGGAATAACGCAGGATGTAAGAAAAGGTCCAACGCGTACAATTACAGGAAAAGGTAACGAACATCAGAACTCGCAAAATCACACAGAAGCTTTTCTTTCTGTGTAGGGAAACTTGAGACATTTCCACTCTTCAGCAGAAATTGCCGCCAGTCGAGGTTAACTTGGGTGTATTACAAGACACAGAGTAAAACAGGGTACTTAGGAAAGGCTGTCCACAGGTCACCCTGAACTGCTTTCCACCAGACGATGCAGCAAGAGAAGGCTTGTCACTGCCAAGACCCACTGACCACGGGAACTGGACCACAGCGACAAGGAAATGCTTCAGCAGTAAGTAAAGAAACTCAGAATAAATCTATGATTCTAAACAATCTGACCTGCGAAATGGCCAAAGATTTTCGGAAGGGACAGTTGCTGGGGAATGTCAGGGAAATGTACTTGCTGGTAAGGGGAATGGCCCTTTCTGAAGAACAGGGAGGCAAAGAATAAAACACTGGGACAAGCAATTCTGTCTTTACCAACTCACCCAAAATACGTTTTAAAAGAAATCATCTTCTGAAAGGAAGAAAGCCGACCAAAAAGGAACAGTCTTTCAAGTCAATGCTGAAGTTTGTCACTATGTTTTCATTCTCTTCAGTAACCTTGTTACTAATCCAGTCTCATTTAGAAAATCAGCTTCCATTTCCTAGTGACACTGTTACCACAGATGTTGCCCAACCCAGAGTAAAAACTAAACTGTTTACCTTAGTTTCTCAATAGAAACTACACATTTCTTAAAAACCACTGGCAAAGCAGGAGGGCCACAGAGACTCAGACACCAGCATAAGGCAGCACTGCCCTGCTGTCAAGGGGCCAAGCCCGGAGATGACCGAGAGGAAACTGAGCAACTGTGGCCTCCACGCCCCGGGAGGCGTCAGATGGGAAGGGACTGCGGTGGAAGCGCATCTCGGGTTTCTTGCTTCTTTCATTAGAAACCTCAGAAGGTTCTTGCTGGCCTCCCTGACTCTTCCGAAGGTACATTTTCTACAAACAATTCTTACTAATTATTGAGTGGCTACAAAACAATGTTTGTAACCTGTAGCTAAGACAATACACCCTAATACCCACTTCCTTCTCCTTCCAGAGCTAATATTCTGAGATTTGTTGTACTCGTTTTTCTTTAATTTTCCACATTTATTTCCTCAAACAATGTGTTACTGACTTTTTTCAGTTTTTGACTTAATTTGCCCTCCCCACTTTGAGCCTTGAGGTTCATCCTGGGAAGGGGCGTGGGGCTGTGACTCACTCATCTGTGCTGCTGACGCTCTGCTGTGTGACGGTGTCACCACCTCACTCTTCTGTTGACGGATGTTTGAGGTGTCAGGTTTTTGAATCTAGTGCTGCTATAAATACTCTTGTACACGCCTCCCTCTGTATGTGTGTGCGCAGTGGATCACAGAGAATCCACCCCTTTATCAGATAACGCCAAATTCTTCCCTAAGTGCTTGTACCAATCCACACACTTAGTAGTGGTATGTAAATATTCTTGTTCAACATATTCACTACACTTGACATTGTTAGATTTAGATTTTTTTTTTTTATGGAAGGACTAGGGACTGAAGCCAGGACTTTGTGTGTGCTAAGCATGCACTCTACCACTGAACTCTACCCTCCCCCTGATATTTTTAGACTTAATATCAAGAATACATTAAAATTCTTTCAGATCAATAGGACAGTAAATGATCCAACAGAAAAATATCTGAAACAAAGATCCAAACAGTGAAAGAGACCCACATTTCACAAACACATGTCCAGTGACTTCCTCAGCCATACAAATTGATTTTTCTAGGATGATTCCACTTTATACCCATGGTTTCTGTAAAATTAAGCACCTCTTTTCACTCTCACGAGTCCTGGTTGAGACAAAAGGGGTCCCATTATCTATGTATCATAGAGGAAGTTCTACACATGGGCACCATAAGCACTGACTGTGAATGTTACAAACAGCAAATCCAAACAAAATACTGCCCCCTTTCCAAAGTCCCCAAAATAAAAATCTGGAACAACCACTCCCAAACACAGCATAATAAATGAAGAAATGGTAGTATATTAAAACGGAATATTACACAGCAGTGAAAACGAACAAGCCATCCCATATTGAAGGCATCACTGTCTAAATCCCACAAACCTAATTTGGCAGAAGGAATGGGGAGAAATATAAACAGTCTGATTTTCTACACAAATTTCAAAACATGTAAATTAAACTATATACTATTTTAGGAATACAAACACAAAACCATGGTGATGATACTACCCAGTTCAGTTGGGGAGGGGGTGGAGGTGATGGCAAGGGAAGGTCTGACTAGGGAGGGACATAGGGGCGTCCAAGCCATTGGCAATGCTGACGGTAGAACTTTGGGTCAGGATCACACTTGACCTTCATGTCTTCCACGTGTATTACATTCAAGCTTTATATTTCATAATCTCAAAATGGAAAAGCATGTGTATCCGTCCTTGACTTCTTTGTGATATAAAATCTTTGCTTCTTCTACTATTGGCTTAATAAAAATTATTCATAGACATGATATAATGGACACGATTTTAAGCTTATTATGCCAGCATCAAAATGCTTGCAAAGAAATCCGACTTTCTCTTTGTCCAGTTGAGTGCTTTGCACAATGAGCTTAACTAGCCTTAAAACATCTTTTAAGTACTAACTTTAAGTGGCTTAAATTCACTAAGAACAATGAAAACTGTTGCTGTTCCGGCTCCCTTTCTGGACATAAGACTCCGGAATTACAAATCTTTGACCTGTTTCCATGAAAGAACTATGCATGTAGTAGGGATTTAAGCATATATTTAGAAAAGCCCTCATGTAAAGAACACCCAGAACAGATCAAGCATTTTACATGTTTTCTTACTTAATCCTCAGGATCAACTTATTAAGTATCAGCTTGATCATACAGCAGAGAAAACCAAGTGACTTGCCCAAAGTCACAGCACCAGTACTTGATGTGACAGGTGTTCCTGCCTCCGCTCTCCTTGTAAGGTTGCCGGGATACATTCTGATTCAGAGCTGTGGATGAGGCAGAAAGAGCACTGAACACGGCTCTGAATAACTGTCGGAGTCCTGGCTTCACTACTCAATAAAGTGACCTTTAAAAATGATTAGTCTCGGCTTAGTCCTGGCTTCCCCATCTGTAAACTGGGATAATGAGGATTAAACAGCAGCTGATGCACAGGGAGGGTTTAAACTGTGATGAGCTGCACATACACAAACACAGTCATTACAGTCTTCGTGATGACACAGAGTGGTAACACTGCCTCTGACCAGGGACCGTCCTGTTAGAAGTCACAGGATGTGAGGGTTGGATGAGTAGCGTGAGGGCTGTATCATCTACCTGCAGTCCTCTATCCCTTCTCCCAACCCACCCATCACACAGAGGGCCTAACGCACTGCCTGCCACCCACTGCACTCTTCTCAACTTGTAAAAAGAAACAAGGAGTAAAGCATTTACATCCAAAAGATACGGTGTCTTCCAGTGGCCATAAAAAGCTATGAACTGCAGGTCCAAGGAAATGTGTCACTAGGGTTAAACTCTTGTGGTAGAGGGTGAGAAAAACAGGCACAGAGCACATCTTTGAGCCTGATGCTTATTTTTAAATAAGAAATGTCTCCAGTTTTCACAGTGTCTATGCTCTATCAATCACTTCCGTCCTGGATGTTACTCTGGAACGGATTAGCCAACACTGACATGCTTTTACACAAACCATCGCATTTTGCCCTAACAATACTGAGTCTGGTCCGGTGGGTTACGGTGAACTTCTACCTACAGAGGAGTGAGCTAAGAGAAAGAAGTCACTGAGCGCCACAGCTGGGACCTGGGCCGCAGACCCCTCCTGAGCTGTCGGTGCCCAGCACCGGGGGCCGCCCCCGAGAAGGGCACACAGAGAAGGCCTTGCTGCAGACCCGGCAGGACACGGGCGCGGGGCTTGGCCAGGCCTGCCAGGAGGCGGTGTGGCAGGAGGGAGAGAGGAGACCCCGGGGAGGAGACCCCTGGCGAGGAGGACCCCCAGGAGGAAGACCCCCGAGGTGGAGGAGGATCCGGGCAGGAGACCCCCGAGGAGGCGACGACCCCCCGGCGTAGGAGGAAC